TTTCTGCATGTTGTTGACAGTCTCTTCTGCCATCTCTTCAATATAATGCTTCCACCAGACACAAATGTTTTTTTATCAATTAGTAAAAGACTAGGCCTGATGTGTGGTTTTTTTGTTTGAGGGCCAACAACTTTTCAGGTATAAAGTCTGAATTGTCTATTGTGTCTAATGTGAAACTAAAGTCACTCCTGTCCACCTTGGCTATCATTTTCAATATTTACAATATTCTTTACAGCTGCAAGTAAACTGAGTATGAGGGCAGGAAAAATGCTTACGAAACTGACTTAGATTCATTGAATTCAGAATTGGGGGGAGGGGGGCTATGAAATATGGTGCCTCAATGGGGGGGGGGGATAAATTTTGATTTTGTTAGAAAAATAAGGGGTCATGAGAAATTTTTGCTATTCATAAAAATTTCCTCCAGCCCCCTACCCGGCATTAATAATGACTTGTCCCTAAAAACAATCCGTAAGAATCATTTACAAAAAAAATCATGTACTGGACATGTATTTCCACAACCAAGTGGAATACACAAAGAACTACAGCAAGAATGTTTTTATTAATTAACCTAACTGTGGATCCTTCCTCTCTCTTGAACAAATTGTTATCTTTGCCTGTCATTGTCTTGACTTTCTTGGAATTAGTTACAGAGAAACTATGATTAACTAGTGGATAATGATTCACCATTTCAGTACTATGTAAAAATACTTTAATTAGTACACATGTAGTTTTATGGATGAGAAGAAGTATCCACAATTTTGATAATAAATGCTGTTTTTGAGGTGGGAAAATGTGTAATAATATTAGTGTAATATGATTGTTGTCTTTTGTCTTGCAGGAATTATTGGTTATATTGCGGGCATCACAGAACATGGGACAAGGCATTAAAATACAGAATAGCCAAAAGCAAAGTCATAATAATTAATACCACAGTAACTTAATTATCTGATGGCAATCATAGATGGATTTTTTGGGGGGATGCAGGTGGTGTGCACCCCCAAAAATATTTTCACCACCTCAGAACGTTTTCCCACCCCACCTAGAGATATTTGCACCCACCCCAGAAATTTAAATGCTGGTTTGATTAAATGACAGCAGTATAATTGAACTAAATAAGAACTAAATAAGACTTAAAACAAGGCCAAAAATCTCGAAATATCCTGGGGGTCGGTGCCCCCAACCTTACCCCAACTCTGTCCCCACTAGTGACTGTACCCTCAGCATGGGCATACAGGAAGGAAAAAATTAGGTGGACGGAAAGAAATTTGCCTGACTTTTTCGGATTGTGCCCGGGTTGTCAAAAAAAAATTTCCAGAGAAACTTTCCGAAATTGTTGTCAACAGGGGGGGAGGATGCTACGAAAAATTCCTATTAGATAGCATATTTCCCACAAAATTGACAGAATAATAAGCCAATACTGCCCAACTGGCTTTGTTTGCCCAACAAACTGGGGCGGGGCACACCCATGGTAGACCCCGGTAGACCCTGCTGCATCTTACTCAGCACACCATGTGCTCACTTTCCACCCCTGAATTTTTCTGCACACCCCCACCCCAAGCAAAATTTGAAAATGTCTATAGATTATGGTGATGATAACATAAAAGTATAAACCTTTATTACCGTAAGTTAATGTTAATTAATTAAGACTATTAAGTTAACACATGCTCCACTACATCATGTTAATTACAATAATTTTAGTGTTAATTTAAAATTATTCACTGTTAATAATATTCTACTGTATTGAAGAAGTTCAAATAAAATAGTTCAAAATTAATCCAGCTTTTGTGTCTTCAATTTCCATACATCTTGCTTGGTACTGCCCTACTTTTACTTGTCAATGTCAGAGCCACTCTATGGGTTAATTGGGAAACCAGAGTGAGTCAGGACAAATGCCAAATTATGACATGACAATTGTGAGATAATTCTGGAATAAACAAAAATATATTATATGTTGTAACTTTGAGCACAAAAATGATGATGGGAAAAACAAAACAATGTGACTCAACTCCAAACCAGAAACAATGCAATTAATTATCAGGCTTTTAATGGTATAATAATCAAAAGTGGCCAGGATACAAGGTACCTTCCCAGTGCAAGGGAAGCAACATACAGTAGTTGGTGTTCCAAATTGTTAAACCCATTAAGCTGCAGACAGGGCCGTACACAGGATTTTTTCACCGGGGGGGGGGGGAGTAAGGCCTATATGCCGAAAAAGTCCCAAATATCCAAAGAATAATTAATGACATTCTAAAAATCGTGAATATAGTTTTCTCTGGGGGGCAGTTGCCTCCCCGCTGTGTATGGCCCTGGCTGCAGAGCTTCCCCAGTGGGGTGCATTGCAGCTCAATTGGTTAATTATAAAGGTTATGATAGACGTTATGTCCTACCTGAGCTTTCATCACCCCTACAACCCTCTGCCCCCAACAATGTGTTGTAAATGGCCAATGTACTACCTTTTCATCATACAGCAGCAACATTTTCTTGGGGGGGGGGGGGTATTTTGGGAAATACTTGAGTATACTCCAAAAATCTTGACATTGATTAGCCTTGTATGCAAAGTTGGCACATATTACACAAAACCTGAATATATTTAAACACATACCTGACATACCGTTTGCTTTGAAGGAACGTCTGGAGTTACTGTAATACCATTTTCTAAAGTACAGTATAGATAACAAAAAGTTTTAGTTTCTGCAACCAAATTTTGAAATATACAGATAACAGATTTGCCAGGCTGTTTTTTTAACAAAAAGATTGCATTTCATCGTCAAGCTTAAGTTAAGCCTACCAATTTTATGTGAGATAAGATAAAGCATAAATAAAATTGAATGAAATACCTGTTTATAGCTCGCTGATTCAAATATCCTCTTTGGCTTTGCTCACATTTTGCGAGGACAGCGAGGTTTGAATTTTGTTGTCTTTCTCGGGAAGAATAACTCGTATGACTTGCACATCTTTGAACCAATAACCAAGTTTAGAAAAAATATCTCGAAAACATTTTAAAAATCGATTCAAATATCGAGAAAATACTACAAAACCCGAGCAAAATTGCAAAAATCTAAAGTTTTTTAAAGAAAACCAGGGGGGGTGGAAATTGTAGCGGGCTCAGATCCGAGCCTGGTCAGTGGTAATTACCATGAGAAATACGGACCAGTTGTCATGGAGATGGCGTCAGCAAAGGCCGAAATCCGCCATGTTTTTGGCTTCACTTTTTTTTCCCGTGCAGGTCCTCCAGTA